CCCCCCCCCCCCCCCCCACCGCCTTCCCTCTTCTTTCTTTTTCCTTTTCTTTTTTTGTTGGAATGTAAGAAATATGAACAGACTGTTAATAATTTAGTTTGTTTGTTATACGTGTACTTTTGCAGGTCTTCCAGAAAGGTTCACCTTTGGTGCCTGAGGTATCAAAGGCAATTGCAAAACTAAGAGCAGAAGGAAAACTTGTGATGCTGGAGAAGGCATGGTTTAATGGATCATCTTTTATGCCTCAGAGCTCTGTCAGTCACCCCAACAACACTCTGAACCTTGAGAGTTTCAGTGGTTTATTTCTTATAAGTGGGGTCACTTCGGCCATAACCCTTCTCATTTTCTTAGTTTGCTTTCTTAGAGAAAGATTTGCTGTTCAAAATCATATCTTGACAATCCTAGCTCAAGGACAGCCGCTATTGTTCTTGATGAGGTACATTTTCACTAGAAATGTTACATAAAACTGATACATGAAGCTTCCATTATTGCGGAGTTTAGAAGAATTCAAATGTAAATAGTCTAACCTTTGCTTAGAAGGGACTATTTATGTAACTGAAAATACTACAAAATTGAAGAAATCAATGCAAATATAATTGATTAGCTACTTAAATTTTTGCACTATGCATCATGATGATCGTTAATATGTTTCATCCGTTTGGTTTGTTATAATCCAATTTTTGAGTAATATGAGCATAATTATTTTAAGACTTCAAAATTTGATCTAATATTTTGACATAATAATGTGTAAGTAATCTGATCTCAATGAAAAAATTCAATAGTCATGATAAAATATTATTGGAACATATTTTATCAGTCAAGTTATTAGATTAATAAATCATACCAAAATTTTATGTTATTGTAGCATTACTGGTAACACAATAGGATTCACTCAAAGAACCTAGCGTCCAATCTAGGGGCGTTTGGATAAAATTTGAGATCGGGATTGGACTGGACTAACAACTCATCCAATCCAACCTTTTGTCCCATTCAGTTCACACTTATCTTTGGGGAAAAATGGTAAATTCATATTTTAATTTTGTTGATGTCATTTCACACCAAATTNTTAATAGTCATGATAAAATATTATTGGAACATATTTTATCAGTCAAGGTATTAGATTAATAAATCATACCAAAATTTTATGTTATTGTAGCATTACTTGTAACACAATAGGACTCACTCGTAACACAATAGGATTCACTCAAAGACCTAGCGTCCAATCTAGGGGCGTTTGGATAAAATTTGAGATCGGGATTGGCCTGGACTAACAACTCATCCAATTCAACCTTTTGTCCCATTCAGTTCACACTTATCTTTGGGGGAAAAATGGTAAATTCATATTTTAATTTTGTTGATGTCATTTCACACCAAATTTATCCCAACTATGAGGTTGGTTTGATTAAACCCATCATATGAACTCTAAGGTGTAACTCAAGTGGTAATAAAAATGAATTGTAAATTCAGATATCTTAAATTTGAATTTTGACAATCTCAAGGGGTCAGGCCAAGAGGAATTTCTCTCTCATGAATATCTTAATCTCAATGTGGATGGTTTGTCTTTAACCGGATCGGAGAGGAGATTAGTCGATGTGCGTATAATTAGTCTCAACACTCCTGCATGTTGAAAAAAAAAATCTTATGTATGGTTTACAACACTGTAGCATGCGGTCCTTAGATTATATATTATGTTAAAACTAGGACTAGGCACCGACTCCGACAGAGTTGGAAAGCACACCTCCGAATTTTGACTCCGACTTTAGTTGGAGTGAATTTTTCCCTCCGACTCTAAACTACTATAATTCCAATTCCGACTCCGCTTGTTGGAGGCAGAAGTAGAGATTTGAAAATGTAACTAATAATGCTCTTAACACGATTAAGTAGTGATGAGAGTATAAAGTGCACTGAACAGTTAAGTTTAGTTCAATCTAAGCTCCAAGATTCGTGAGAATATGATCTGGGAAATGAGGATGATCACACAGAGTGATTATAGTGGTTCGTCAGCTTGAGAGCTCGACTAATTCATTCTCAAGGGAGTCTCTTACTCCTGAATATCTTGATTATTGGAGAGTTTACAGAAAGTATTTTAGTGAGGCTACGATGACTTGTTGTTTCTGTCGAGGACTTTGCCTCCTATTTATAGTTATTCCTGGGCTTAGCTTAATCTGAGGCGAGATCCTAGCTTCTTTCTTGTAACGGTTGCTTCTATTGCGCAATTGATGCGGTAGATGTTGCGGCGGTTATGAGACTTGCGCCTGATAAGTAACCGTTGCTACTAATGGGGTATTTGGTGGAATCAAGTTGTCATATGCGCAGCCTTCCTTGGGTCTAAGGTCTGGAGTCGAGGTCTATGGGTAACTTGACTGAGCTGAGCTCCCGACCTGAGAGATCTGACTTGAATTATCGAGCTCAACCTTGGGCATATTCGTGGTACCATTAATTGCCCCTCAGTCCCTAGTCAAGCAGAGTTGTATGAGCTGGGACTGAACTCTGCCTTGGGCGAGTGAGGTTGCCCTGGATAGACTTCGAGATGCGCATAATTGGACATTTTTTTTCCGGTTATGGCAAACGTGCAATCATTCCCTCCTCGTTTCTCGTGCACGTCCCTTACTTAAAGGTTTCACGTGTCTGTCCCTATGCTTAGCCTTAAATGCATCATCAGACAACCGCCTCTTTCAATAATTTGAACCCTCTCCGTCTTCTTTCTTTCCTTCCTCTGCTGCTTTCATCTTCCCCAATTCGTTGAAGATTTAGGGTTTTTCAGAAAAATTCTCAATTTTACTCCGAAGGTTCTGCGAAGCTGGCCTAATTCATTCAGATTTTCCCTTGGTTCTTGGTTTCTCAATCGTTCCCACCTAGGTACGTCCCTTACTTTACTCTTTCTTCTCCTCTTTTAATCTTTCTTTCATTCTAGATCCATTGAATTCGACGTGGTTGTTTAATTTCTGAACTTTTCGCTTTTGTTACTTTAGGAATTGAGGTCGTTCCTTATCCTTTCTTCCCCTCTTCTTGGACCCTTACCTTAGTGCTAGAGTTTTTCTCTTTGGCCGTTAGTGTCTCAACCTTAGGGCTCTTAGAGATTGTTTTACTTATGTTCCCCCCTTTTACAGCTCCTTCACTCATCCTTTCTCCTATTCAATCATGTCTCTTTCTTCCGAAGTCACTGCTTCGTCTATCTCTCTTGTCATGGGTGATAGGTCTCCTGAATTAGAAGAGGATGACCTGGAGGATGTAGGTGATGAAATAGATAACTTGAGGAGAGGGTAGAGGTGTCTTTATCTTTACTAGGGTCTTCCTCGAGTTCTAAGCGATCTTAAAAAGGAAAGGCTAAAAAAGGTAAAGCTGGGCCCTTAGGCAATGTTGAGAGCTCTAAACCTGTTCCTCATGCTTTAGACCTAATAGGTCAAAGCGAGGTTACACCTCCTTTCATGAGAGTCCTCTCTACGAGGTTTGGCTTTCCCAAGGTTATGCGTTATTGGTGCCCCTCTTTAGATATAAGGTATGACTCCAAGGTTTCTGAGAAGACCTATTTCTTCGTAGCTTCTCTGGAGAACAGTCTTAAGTTCCCTATATGCCCCTTCATCAAATCTGTTCTCCAGCATTTCAATGTATGCTCTGCGCAAATCTCTCCCAACTTTTGGGGTATTTTGGTGGGTCTTCTCGTATTTTTTTTAAAAAATGAGCTTCGTACCCCTTCGATTCCTTTAATCATGAAATACTTCAATGTCAAGTTCCCTTCTGATGGCTTTATGTACATCCCCAAACTGGTGAAGACTCCAGCCTTGATTACTGACCTGCCGAGCTCCCACAAGAACTAGAAGAAACTATTCTTCTTTGTGTCAGGGAAGGAATAAGAGTTTGACCTGAGTAATGCCATTGACACCTTTCATGTTCCTCGTTCTTGGTCAGGTCTTGATAACCTGGGTGTGTCCTTGTTTAGAGGAGGGTTAACTTGGTTCATTTTGTTTTTGTATTTTTCTTGTTGACCTTATCTCCTTGGATTGTCTCAGGTATTCGTCCCAAGCTCAGAGCTGAAGATAGGCTTGCCTTGCTGGAGCTTGAGGATTGTCGCCCGGAGAAACATTCTAACTTGATCAAACATTATGTGCTTACAAAGTTTGGATTCAGCCCTCATGAGGTAAGAGTTGAGACTCCAATTCTCATCTCTGTAGTTGATGCAGAAGATCCTACCAGTAAGATTCTTCCCCTTTTATCTCTGGTTCTTTCTTTCTTTCTCTTTGTGTTAGCTAACCTTTTTACTTTCTTAGGTTCCAACTTGTTGGCTCCTGACGTTGAGGTTGTGAGGGCTAAGACATCCCAGATGAGGAGCAGCAAAGCTGCTGGAAAGTGTAAAGTTGGAGTCGGGTCTAGGCTTGATCCTTATTCGAAGGTGTAGAGAACAAAAGTGCCTCCACCTTCTCTTCCTTCCCAGGCGATCTTTTCACCTCCATTGACTTCACAAAAGGCCGTTCTAACCTCTACTTCTCAAGGGGTGTCCTCCTCTCGTCGAGGGCTCCTCTGGACGTGCTAGGGCATCATCTTCCCCTTCGTCAGCAGAGGTTGCTGGAGCTATGGAGGCCATAGTTCCTCTCTTGCGAGGGTCTTCCTTTTCCTGGCCTCTCGAGAAGACTCCTCGCTTGCATGTGGAGGGTTTATTGACAAAGGTTGAGAAGGGCAGGAGTTCGCTTATTAAGAACATGAGCCTTGCCACTGAGACCATTGCCTCAGTTATTCCTGAGCCCGATATTCAAGAGGTCTCAATGATCCCTTTACACATCTCTGCTACTACTGCTTTGTACGCAACAACTTCAGTAAGTCCTAATCTCTTTGAGTTTGCTTCTGCTTTGAGTAAATAATTTTTGCTGACCTTGACTTCTTCTTATGCTTTTCTCAACTGGCCATTCACATAAGTGCTTTTGGTAAACCGGGTTCGAGCTTTGGAGATCACAGTTGAGCAGACTCAGAAGTCTTCAAAGGCATCTGAGCTGGGCTTCACCAATGATGATCTCAAGGCCCAGGTATATGACATCAAGGCTCAAGTTGAGGAGCTGGCCTCAGTAAACAAGAGCCTAGGGGTAGAGGCTAAGATGGTAAAGGAGAAGCTCGAACTGAAGACTGTCAGCTTAACTCAGGCGCAGAAGGATGCTTCTAAAGTTCTTGGCTCTCTCCTTACTTTGAAGAAGGAGTATATCATGCTAGTTGAGGTCAACTCCACGTTGCTGGATGAGATCGAGGCAGAAGAGCCAAGAATCGTAAAAAGGATGCTCAGATTGTAGAGTTCAAGTATAAGGTAGCTACGAACTGGGCTGCAAGATACATTGCCTTCCAGGAGCAAGCCATGGAGAAGTATCCAGATCAAGATTTTGATTTCAACTCTCCTCTGGACAAGGAGAAGGAAAAGTCAAGGGTTGAGAAGGACGCAGAGGTCCTAGTTCCTACTGCTCTTGGGGTGGAGGAGTCTATG